ATTCAAACAATTGTATTATTGTTCTTGTTCACTTTAACTATATATTGAGATATAACATTGTATTCTTGAAGTATAACTAATTTTTTTGAAAAACTTAAAATTCTTTACAAGATAGTATCTGTTCTATACTTAAATCTAAGTCCCCATCACCGGGGTTTAAACTTTTAACCATCTACTTGGATGGATAACCGGGATGCCATCACACTACATGGTAGTTGGCAAAGTGTTTCCTAATTCTATAAATCTCTTCTTTTTTTTTTGAATGCTACTAGCTTAGTATCTGTTCATATACTTTCTCAACCTACTGAAACACAAAGAGCCAATAACGCCTCCATTGAGGCTCGAACTTACAACCTTCCAAATGCTTTCTCAACCTACTGAAACACAAAGAGCCAATAACGCCTCCATTGATGCTCGAACTTACAACCTTCCAAATGGAAGTCCAACCCGGATACCATTAGACCATATAGTCCTAGTCCTAATTCTAAAAATCTAATAACTCATATTAAAATATTCATCTAATTCTAATAATACAATAATTCTCATAATTAACTATTCCTATTTCTATAGGCGTATAAAAATATTTCAAAGATTTTTTAACTTAAAAAAATAAATTATTTTCTGTAAAACATTACAAAATATATAAATTCAATCAATTTAAGTTGAATCATTTTTTGGATTAAGTTGAAATGTTTTCCAAAATTACAGCATCGTTTTAAAATTCATGGAATCAATTGAAACTATTTGGCATAGTTTCGCGGAAGGTGTTTTGTTCTTGATGGCTATGGGTGTGACAAAAAGTTTGACAAATACTAAATTAAAAATGAAAACAGATAGCATTCAAAAAAAAAAAAAAATGAAAACAGATAATTCTCACAAAAACTAAGGGGTCCTTTACCAACTTGAAAAAATGGAAAATTGTTTAAAAATTGGAGAAATTGAGAAGTGAAAAAAAAAATATTGGAGAAGTTGTTTACTAAATTTCTTCTTCCAAATGTTTACTCCTTCTCCAATTAATCTTCAACCTTCTTAACGGTTTTAGAGAAAGCAAAACCAACTTAACCCAAATGGAGGAAGGGAAGAGAATGTGCGTGGATAGTGCACTCTATATTGAGTTGTCTCTAGTTCAAATCCTATTGTTTGCATAGTTAAAGGAGATTCTTTTATTTTGCTGGAAATGAAAAAACAGAAGAATGAAATAAACGACCTCTAAGCGCCCCCAAACCCCAACTGCTCCAGCCTGCCGCCACACACCACCGCCCGCCACTGTCTCACGCTCTAGTCCGACGCGGATCACGCCACCACGCCAGTCCACTGTACGCCACCAGTCTCAATGGCCTGAAACTCCAAGTCCTCAATTGCTCCGCAGTCCACCCCACAAAAACCCAAACTTTCGCGTCCTTTGCTTCTTCTCAGCTCTTTCAGTTCGTGTAATGGGATTTTATTGAAAGAAAAGAAAATTTTGTTATTTTCCTCCGGTTCAATCGCAAAATTTAAAGGTATGTTCTTTCTCTTTGTTTTAATTAATATTCTCTCACCCTTTTAGCGTTTTCATGATTTGGGATTATCTCTCTGTCTTGTTTTTGTGGCTCAAATTTAAACCTTGTCTAAAATACACATTTACATACAAAATGTTTACAATTTACATGTTTAATGTTTACAATTTATGTACTAAATGTTCATATATAATTTTTCTTTTTACAAATTGTGAGCATTGAGTATATAAATTTATAAACATTCATACATAAATTATGTATGTACCCGGGTCCACCTGGTAAGGAATATAAATTTGTAAACATTCATATGTAAATTATGTATGTACACGGGTCCACCTGGTAAGGAATATAAATTTGTAAACATTCATATGTAAATTATGTATGTACATAGGTCCACCTGGTAAGGTAGATTTAGGTCCAATATATATATATATATATATATATATATATATATATATATATATATATATATTGAATATGATTATTCTTAAAATTTTATATAAAATTGTAGCTGATAAAGGTTTCATGCAAACTTACCCAAAAAATGTTTAGCAATAGATGGGTGAGGTTGGTCATAGAAGAATTCAATCATTATTACATGTACTATTGTTGTGCTGACCATAAATAAAAAAAATATGTTTTTAATATATACTAAAAATATATTATTTGAGTACTGAAAATATATTATTTTATATACTATTAAATAATGTATATTCAGTACATAAATAATATACTTTTAATACATTAAAAATATACTTTATATTCATGGTCCACACATCTATGTGAACCATGGTATACCTAATAATTTGCCTAGAAGAATTAGAGCTACAATAAAGTACCGCTAAAGTGTCATCTCTAACTAACACTTTTGCTAGAGACGCATAGAGGGTGTAAATGCGTGATTTTCTTAAAACGCATTTTGTACAACAATTGATTGCTTTAAGTGATTTTTGATTGGGGAAATTATAATTCGGTCCCTCAATCGTTTTTCAATGGAATGTAATCTTTAATTTTTTAATTTTAACTAATTTGATTCTCTAATTATTTCAAAATTTGTCAATTAAACCCTTTGAAGATTAGATTGACGAAATTTTAAAAAGGAAAAATGACCATTTTAGTCCCTCAGAATAATTTAATTGACAAATTTAAACAATTCTATGATCAAATTAATTGAAATTGAAAACTATAAACTACATTAACATTTGAGAAACAATGATTTTCTCTTTTTGAAAAATTGATAGTGAATTACGCTTGGATCAATTAGAATTGTTTTTTTTTTTATTTAAACCAATCTACAAATTGTATTAATGAATCAAAGTTGTAATAGCGTTAAGGGGATAGAATCCCAGTACATAGCATGACCCTGAATAAAAGCTAAGGAAGCTAAAGTGTGCGCATGTAAATTAACCTGCCTGGAAACATAATTTAACGAAATATGACTAAATAAAGACATAAGTGTTCTGCATTGGTCAATTGTGACCCCAACATAAGAATGAATTGGTGAGTCCTGCTGCCGCATAGTAGTACGTAGTACCATGCAATCCGTGAGTAGACATACTGATGTGTCGTTCCTTCCTAGTAGCTAGGACAGTGCCTCCTTATATGCCTGTGCCTCCGCCATAAACGGTGAGAAACAAAAAGGAAATTTGCCATTTTTTTCCTCTATGAAAGTGCCCTCTGGTGAAACTAGTACAATACTGTACGTGGCATCTCCAGTGTCTTGACGAAAACCCGCGTCCACATAGCATCTGAGGCTGCTGTCGTCCGTGTCCGTTCCGGTGGGTGTTGCTAGAGACGGCGGTGCCTGGCGGTGTTGCACAGCACCGTACGCCTACAAAGACGCGACAGCCACTCTCCAGACATCGGCTGGCCGCATCATAGACCCCTTCCACACTGCTGAGTTACGGCTCCTCCAAATGTGGTACAACACGGCTACCAATAGCCGGGTTTGCTCCTCCGTTAAGACCGCCAAAGTCCCCATTAGCCATGTTGAAATGGAATCTGTAATAATATTAGTGATAGGCAATTGTGTTATATTCCAAACAAGTGTAGAATATTCACAGAGCACTAAAGCATGTAACACATCTTCATGATCTAAAGCACACATGGACATGTTGGGTCTACCTCTACCCTCTTTATAATCAAATTAGTGGTAGTGGGTAAAATATCACATATGGCTCTCCACAAAAATGTCTTCCACTTGAGTGGGACCTTTAATTTTCACATAAAAACCCATTTATCAAACTGGTTACCCTCATAATCCCCAACAATACGCCTATAGGCGTTCTTCCCTGGGTATGTCCCTTTTGGGTCACCCATCCAATACCATGAGTCATCTTAGTCAGGATTAATAGGAATCATACTTATCCGGTTCACATTTTCAGGAATAAACAGGTCAGATAAAATATGTGGATCCCATGTATTTGTTTGTAAATCAATCAATTCTGCCACTCGTGCTTCTTAACTCTTCTGACATATGTCTTTGAATTAAGGGACTAGAATTATCCAGTAACCACGTATGTCCCTATATTAGAGTCGTCTGTCCATTTCCAATCGTTCTTCGCACTCCAGAGATTACCATTGTATATTAATCAATTAGAATTGTTAGTTGTTCTACTTGTATATTAATTGTTTTTTATCATAAAACATTTTTCTTTTCCTTTTCAGTAAAATGTTTTCTTTTTCTTTAATTTTGTTTGAAAGAAAAATATCTCCGATTGGGCGGTTATCAATAGCATCCAAAATACTGAAGAGCTGGCAGCGAGTCTATAACCTCCCATTCTTCAGAGTTCAGATAAGCCCATTCTCTTTTTCCTGCTTTTTTGTAAGCAATTGAATTTCAAGCAACCATCCTTTTGAAATTCATGCCCAAATATACTCTACTGGAATTTCTTCAAATATGGCTATAGATGTACTTAATTCCTTAAGATTCTGTTGCCCTCATTTCAATTGCATATCCGTAACTGACACTGCGCCAGGTAAGAGCTCGCTATCACTGCGGATTTCAATTAGTAATGGGCCACATAGAGGCAGAAAGTTTGAATCTTTGAAGGTTTTAAGGCGCGGGTCTGTGGTAAATTGGAAGAAAACTAGAAGAAATAATGTGGGTGATTGGCATAATGTGATGAACTCTTCGAATGGGAATCTCAACTGTTGAGAATAATAAGATGGTTCTGTTAAGTATGCTGTTAAAATTGTTGAGAATTTTGTTTGGCAAATGGAAAATTCGTCAGATGAATCTTTTTGGAGAAGTATTTGTTATGGATTTTTTAATGAAGCAAAATTAGCTACTAGCTATAGCTTGAAAATGTGTGGCGGTTTATAAGGAAATAAAGTTGCGCCTTCGCTACTAGCTATAGCTTTTGGCGTAGTGGTAAGCGCTTGATCCTAACACTCATTTTTCTCAGTGGTTGCTATTTCTACTAATGGTAATATTACCTCGCATTCAACTTCATAATTTTGTTATTATATTCATCTGGTTCTATTCTGCAGAGTGAGCTTGTGTAACTACATTGATTATAGGTGGCTTATTCAATGCGGAGTCTTCATATAGGTGTTTAACTATTGTTCATAAATGCCAGCCTTGCTTCATAATGTTAAGTTGCAATGTGGCTCTTTCAACATTGTTGTCATACAGATTGTGATATTTGGTTTCTGTACATATCCTTGAGAACTACATCATATCATACACAGTTGTCACTTGACACAATTAAGAATCTTTGGAGTTACGTTTGTTTCACTCTCAAATCCTTCCTGTGGGACATTACATAGTAAAGGCCCTCTTCGGCCTGCAGCCTTTAGGCATACACACATACATTATACATACAGGATATATGTGAGTGGCATTCATTGTTTAGGGTCGTCTACTGTCTATTCCGGGCTGCTGCATAGACGATGACTTTGCTGGTGGTGATTTCGATCAGGTTTGCCTTGTGTATAATTTATTTATTTTCTGAATGAAATGAAAAGAACAGAACAGAGATTTCATCTATCCGTACTGGAATTATTAATTATATGCTTTGTGTATTTCTTTATTCGATGCATCTGTAAACATACTCATGCTCTTCTTCTTTTAATTTGATAGACGAGGATGACCGTGAATTGCAAAAAGCAGCATCAATATAATCTACCAAGGTGAGGGGGGTTGGTTCAGATAGCAATGGCAAGAAATAGCTGAGAAAGAAAAGATGCTAACATACACTGAGTGTGATATGATAAAGGAAATATCTTTATTATTAGAATTGATTTATTATCCTTATTATTAGAATTGATTTATTTTCTATAGAGATAAGAAATAATTATGGTAAGGAGCTTTAATGATTCTCCTTTCCTTTTTATGTTTTACTAGTCTTTGTAACCCTCTTATATAAAGAGGATTTTTATTCTAATAAAATAACAAGCAAGAAAGAAGTTAAGTTAAAATCAAGAGATGGGAAAACTCTCAAAACGTTCCTATTATCTTTGTTCCTTAAATTTATCTCTCAACATAGACATCCCCAATAACCCTAATCGCCCTTTGACGCGTGCTTTCGCCCGAAAACATAACAGAGTGTCTCACTTGATCAGAGACCAGGTAGGTACATACTGATACAAGTGTTATTGTTATTGTTATTGTTATTGTTATTGTAGTGGGATGACCACTTCCTAGGTAATTATAGCACTTTAAGGTAGTGGGTAGTTTTTATCTTTTATAAATAGATGCCTTAGGTATTTGAAGAGGGAATATTTATCTGGGAAATTTGTATTTTGGCTTTTTATTAAATGAAAGATGGGGGAGGAGAAGCACTCCAAAAAAAACGCTTCATTTGGGGAGAAGAAGCACTCCAAAAAAAACGCTTCATTTGGGGAGAAGAAGCACTCCAAAAAAAACGCTTCATTTGGGGAGAAGAAGCACTCCAAAAAAACGCTTCATTTGGGGAGAAGAAGCACTCCAGAAAAGCTTCATTTTATTCCTAAGTTTCTAAGCCTGTGGCGCTATCCTAGATATTCTGGCCTATAACACATACTCACTTGATCAGGAGGAAGAATCTGAAAGAACCTACCTGGGTTGGGTTGGGTTGGATCGAAATCCCTTAATTCCCTTAAGGGTGCAACTTTGGTGAGGAAACAGGGAAATGCAACATGGTTTTGGCATCATCAACAACAGCCTCCATAGCTGCTTTCTAATTGAAAACAAGAAAAAAAAAAAAAAAAAGAAAAAACCAAGTGACGTTCACACATATATCAACAAAGAAAAATCTACTGCTGAATCTGCACCTAAAAGATTAGCTAAACTTGACTCAACCTTACCTACCTATTTTATTTGGTTGAACTGAGTATTTTCTTGGCATTGAAGGTAAAATGTTCAATTTACAATTTGCATTACTAGCTGTTTCTAACCTTGACACATTGTTCAATGAAATGTGTCTTGACTTAGGCTGCTGAATCCTTATCTTGTACGTGATCTGATGATAAAGACTCCTTTTTGTGCAGTGCTAAAACAATTTCCAGAGGCTTTAGTTTGGATGCAGCTAAGATCTTCTCAGCCCACAATCACATGCCTTCTGGTCTGATGCTTTGGTGTTAAATATCCTATTTTCTTTGAATCAATCTTTCAGCTCTTTGTCCATCTATCTATCCTTAATTTTTTCCCTTTTACTGTAAACAGTGGGATATCTATCTGTAATGATCTGATCTGCAAGCTTATAAGGTTGGATGCTGGATATATTACTTCAAAAGTCTTGTCAACTCTTCTCAGTTACAGGTACAGATGGTGGACCACCGAGTTTTTTATTGATCTTAAAATGGAATACTGCCCTGTGAAGATGTCTAATATTTGTTTGATCAGGAACATAAAGGACTTGAGATGTATGATGCATGCATTATGCATATTAGAGCAATTGAATGAACTAGCTGCTACCAAAGTTAACAGGATGGAAGACCGAATACACTGCAGGAAATGTCTGCAGTGCAGCCACAAAGAGTAGAAAATTAAGTTGAAAATAAAATTGCTAAAATTAAAGCTACCTTCTGATCTTAAGTTCTTTGGTAGGACCCCATTTAATCATTGGCTACACACATGCGTAACGTAGTGTGCACATACTAACACCGATGACAGATCAACAACTGAAAAAAGCAGAAAATCATACACACCAAGTCAACTTTATTAATATAATGGTAAGACGTCATCTCAAACTCCCCGTGGAGACTGGCCTTAAACATAGCAATCCGCTTAACCAGATCAAGCGAGGTATCCACGATAGTATGAAGCTTCAAGAAAAATGAAATATGCAAAATCAAAAAACATAAACACGACAAAATACAGTATCATAAGGGTAAGGAGTCGAAACAAACCGTGGATAGAGTGGATGCAAAACAACGGGAAGCTAAGGGGCAAAGGGGTCATATACCGCTCTCGACAATTCAAAAGACATGTCCACGCATCTACCACGGCAACCTCAACCAACGACCCGAGTGCCAGCGACAACAAGTCCACCCATCGCGCAGCCCTACCACTAACATCGAATAGAATATCGTCCCTAAAACATATAAAGATAAACAGAACAACATATCAACTAACCATACGAAACAAAATATGCATATCAAAAAATAGATTCTGAAACTAACATGTTCGCATCTGTTGCGCACAACAACCAGTTGCAAATTACTGCCTCGTCCGGGTTGTCCAAGTCGGGCAAAGCCACAGAGCTCATGGAACCGGACGCACCGATATTTAGGCGCGACACCCCCGGAGGAAAACCAACCGGCGGCCAAATACACCCCCCCCCCCCCCCCCGATAAGGTTTCAAAGGTGCTTGACACACAGGGCCAGCAGACCGACACCCAATGGCCTCCTCCGCAGGTATTGATGGCTGCAAACAGAAATAAGAGAATTAAACAACACAAAAAAGCCCACAAAGCGTGGGATATCGCGCGAAATGGCTATGCACACTGGAGCATGCGAGCGTGCACATGTGGAAATGGCTAGAGAACAGTGGCATACACACCACAGTAAATTCTTGTGCACGACGCATAAGCAAAAAAACAACACATACCAAACCATGTTGAACCGACGTAGCCATCGCAGAATCACCGCGAGCAGGAACAACGCAATCCCCAGCTTGTGCTTCAGCACACCCACCCTATGGTAGATGAACATGGAACAACACCACATTTGGAAAAGTAAACAGATTAAATAAAGGCCACACGCATTGTGCACATATGTTAATACAAGGATGCTCACATGGCCGGAATGAATCCACATGTTTGCAAACACCCATTGAAACATATTCCTAACTAACTGAGCACAAAACATTATACGTACCAACCCCGTGGTCACACGTGTATCAACCGGATGAACAACATGCGTAGGTTCGATAGTTACCGTCGGGCGAGCACCATCAGAACCAGCCCCAGGCTCACCACCATTTGAAACAACCCCATCAGAAACCGCACTATCCACAACCCCAACCAAGCTATCGCCACCACATACATTACCATGACCATCCTATCGGGCAAAAAATACACGACAACAATGAGTTAAAAAAGGCAAAAAAAAAAAAAAAAAAAAAACTAAACAAAAAAACAGTTTGAAACCCAGGTAATGTAACCATTAAGACGAATGCAGACAAGTATGCGCGAGTGCACGTGATCTGACCAAACAACCTTACAAAACGAATGAAAGCAAACTTGGCAAACTGACCTCCACATTAGAATCAGGAATGTCAGTATTTTCCAGGATCAAGTCCGCAACACAGCCTCAATATCACCCCAACCCTGATCTGTTATATCCTGCGTACTACCCAAACTGAAGGACGGCATATCATCGGATCCAGCGTCATGCTGATTTGCAGTGACCACTCGATGCGACTTGATGGCATCAAACACCCCTCGTAGCACATCGCCACCGAAAGCACCATCCGGCCCTTGCTTCACCAACTCTAAAAAAATTGGAACGAATGAAAATTGGAAGAATAGGGAATAAAAATTGCAAAACTGGAGAAATGAAAAATTGGAAGAATGGAGAAGGAAAACTAGAAGAATGGGGAAGGAATTAGCCTGCCGCCACACACCGCCACCCGCCATCGTCTCACGCTCTAGTCCGGCGCGGATCACGCCACCATGCCAGTCCACTGTACGCCACCAGTCCCACTGCTTATACTGTTCGATATTGTTTTTATTGATCCTTTGTTTGATATTGGAATTAGGTGTTTGATGAATTCTCTTTGGCCAATGATGAAGCAGCTTGTGGATTTCATATATTCAGCTGAAGAATGTAGATCCCCCCTGTTCAAATGCAACAAATGAAACAGCCTGTGGATATCAAAAGATTTTTTTTTTCTCCAAGTGTAGCTACTACTTTTTGAATTGTGAACATCCAATTAAAATTGCTAGTTTTTGATAATATTACATTGTTATAAAAGTATTATTTCAGGATAGATAATATGTATTAAACTAATTGAGTAGCAAAATGTATTTTTTAAAAATTAATTTTAATTTTTTTTTTAACTTGGTTGTAGGCATTTCCGACCACCATGTGGTCGGTAAACTTACTACGCGTATATACGAATTATGTTTTCCGACCACCTAGTGGTCGCAAAACGTAATTCGTATATACGCGTAGTAAGTTTACCGACCACCAGGTGGTCGGAAATGCCGTACAACCAACTTTCCCATGCGACAAAACTTTCCAACCACTCTATTTTGGTTGTCGGTGTTTTCGACCACTATCTGTTGTGGTCGGAATTTTTGACAAGCGTTTTTTCGGATGTCAAAAGTGGTCAGAAAATTGGTCGGAACAAGGATTTTCGACCTGATTTGGGCTATTTCCGACCACTTTTTGGTGGTCTGAAAATCGCTGATTTCCAACCGTGAACTCCAAGTCCTCAATTGCTCCGCAGTCCACCCCACAAAAACCCAAAACTTTCGCATCCTTTGCTTCTTGTTAGCTCTTTCAGTTCGTGTAATGAGATTTTATTGCAAGAAAAGAAAATTATGTTTTTTTTTTCCTCCGGTTCAAGCGCAAAATTTAAAGGTATGTTCTTTCTCTTTGTTTTAATTAATATTCTCTCACCCTTTTAGCGTTTTTATGATTTGGGATTATCTCTCGGTCTTGTTTTTGTGGCTCAAATTTAAAATGTGTCTAAAATATACATTTACATACTAAATATTTACAATTTACATGTTTAATGTTTACAATTTATGTACTAAATATTCATAATTTTTCTTTATACAAATTGTGAACATTGAGTATATAAATTTATAAACATTCATACATAAATTATGTATGTACCCGAGTCCACTTGGTAAGGAATATAAATTTGTAAACATTCATATGTAAATTATGTATGTACCCGGGTCCACCTGGTAAGTGAGATTTAGGTCCAATATCATATATATATATATATATATATATATATATATATATATATATATATATATATATATAAAATGTTTTGAATATGATTATTCTTAAAATATTATATAAAATTGTAGCTGATAAAAGTTTCATGCAAACTTACCCAAAAAATGTTTAGCAATAGATGGGTGAGGTTGATCATTGAAGAATTCAATCATTATTACATGTACCATTGTTGTGTTGACCATAAATAAAAAAATACATTTTTAATATACTAAATGTATATTATTTGTATACACAAAGTATATTATTTGACTACTGAAAATATATTATTTTATATACTATTAAATAATATATATTTTGTACATAAATAATGTACTTTTAATACATTAAAAATATACTTTATATTCATGGTCCTCACATCTATGTGAACCATGGTATACCTAATAATTTGCGGCAAATTATGTCGTGCATGCGTGGTGCATACGGATGCAAAAACGACGTCGTTTTGCATCAAAACACGTGTCCTACTTAAAAAAAAATTAGTTTCGATTCCCAGCAACAACATTATGTTGTTAATTTTTTTAGTTCATTCATTATGAATTTTTAGTTATGGAATTATATATGGATGTGTAGGTATGCAATTCTAGATTTATAGTTATGAAATTATGGATGTGTAATTATGCATGGTGTAGTTATGCAATTCTGGATTTTATAGTTATGATGTTATAAATGTATAGTTATGCAATTCTGGATGTATAGTTATACAATTCTGGATGTATAGTTAAGAATTTATGGATGTCTAGTTATGCAATTCTGGATTTATAATTATAAAATTATTGATGTGTAGTTATGTAATTCTGGATGTATAGTTATGAAATTATGGATATGTAGTTATGCAATTCTGAATTTTTTATCTTTTAAATTAGACATCAAAACGACGTCGTTTTTGCATCCGTATGCACCATGCATGGTACATACAGATGCACAGCATAATGATTGATAATTTTCCTAGAAGAATTAGAGCTGCAATAAATTACCGCTAAAGTGTCATCTCTAACTAACACTTTTGCTAGAGACGCATAGAGGGTGTAAATGCGTGATTTTCTTAAAATGCATTTTGTACAATAATTGATTGCTTTAAGTGATTTTTGATTGGGAAATTATAATTCGGTCCCTCGATCGTTTTTCAATGGTTAATGTAATTCTTAATTTTTCAATTTTAACTAATTTGATTCTCTAATTATTTAAAAATTTATCAATTAAACCCTTTGAAAATTAGATTGACGAAATTGTAAAAGGGAGAAATGACCATTTTAGTCCCTCAGAATTGTTTAATTGACAAAATTTTTTAAATAATTTTATGATCAAATTAATTGAAATTGAAAACTATAAACTACATTGACATTTCAGAAGCGGTGATTTTTTCTCTCTTTGAAAAATTGATAGAGTGAATTACGCTTGGAGCAATTAGAATTGTTAGTTGTTCTACTTTTATATTAAGGGCATGTTTGGTTCATGGAAAATGTTTTTCTTGAATTTGAGAAAAACTAGAGATTTTCTTTTGTTTGGTTCATAGAAAACATTTTCTATTGGAAAACATTTTTCTC